ACACCAAATCAAATTGAGATAATGAGAGAGGTTGGCAGGGTATGTCTTACTTCTCTTCAATTTTAATTCCAAGTTGATTCTCTTGCTTTATCAGTTTATTTTCATCTTATAGTTTGAGTATGTTTTTCTAAAATTTATTGAAAAATTCTAGATGAAGCCTACATTTGTATTTTTACATTTATGCTTTAAGAGTCTATCCGGTGATTAAATAATTTATTTGTTAGATTTCAAGGGAAGTTTTAGATGCGGCTGCTAGAGTGATTCAACCGGGTATAACTACTGATGAAATTGACCGTGTGGTTCATGAGGCAACGATAGCTGCAGGTATTAGAAACAACAAATATTTTTATTCTGTAAATTATTATTAATTTTTTTGAAGTAGTACCTTCAATTCTTTGGTCTAGTAGTTAAAAGAGGGAAGTAAAAAATTTAAATGCCTTCGGAGTGATGGTTTCAAATCGTGATGTCCACTTGATTAATCTGCAGAAGTTCCAATGACAGGAGAGTAGCTATTTTCTTCCTTTCCACTATTTGGAAAAGGGATCATTGTTCTGTTATTGCCATCTTTGTCAAAGATGTACTTTGATTTCTTCTTCTCTTTTGCTTTCATTTGGATTCTCTCTTGTTTTTTTTTACTACCTTTTGAACTTCCAAATGTGCCAGTTTATTGTGAGATTTTTTTTTTTTTTACAAAATAGGTTAATTATGATTCAATTTAGATTGGGGGAACAATCATTTGCATGGGTACCGTGATTACTAATATTTTTCGTACATTGTTTCAGGTGGATATCCATCTCCACTCAATTATCATTTCTTTCCCAAGTCTTGCTGCACGTATGCACTATTTTTTGCACAATTTTCGTATATTTTATTTGTTGTGTTTTTTGGATCATACAAATTTCAGTTTGTTTCTCTCTTTGCAGTTCTGTTAATGAAGTGATTTGTCATGGTATTCCTGATGCAAGGTACGTGTTTTAATCCCTCGTTCATGTGGATTTGGTACATCTCATGTTGATGAATCTGTGTCTTCATGCTTTGAATTTGAAATTGGCACCCATCTTGATCATTTGATGATGAGGTAGACGTTTATTCAACATTTGCTCTAATTGTTTCAGGAAACTAGAAGATGGTGATATTGTAAACGTTGATGTGACTGTGTACTATAAAGGTTATCATGGTAAGACGTGTAACTGATCGGTTTTAATTGACCCAAACAAGTTCATTTTCTGCTGATTGCTAACTTAAAAAAGTTGAAATGTAGGTGATCTCAATGAGACATACTTCGTAGGAGAAGTTGATGAAGAGTCCCGACGTTTAGTCCAGTGTACTTACGAGTGTTTGGAGAAAGCTATAGCCATGGGTATGTGTCAATAATGCACCATGGACTTTACAACATAAATTTTGTAATCCCTCGAAGAAACATATACGAAGTTTTTGAATAGGTTGCAGTGGATCATTCTGCGGGTTCATAGAAAGAGTTAGTTTTTGCCTAATATGAAAACAGATTAGCATTATGTTGCTCTTACCCCTGGCTGTTCTACTTAAAAGTTCGTTTGATAGAATTCATTCTTAAATCTTCCTAGTGAACCAATGTCTACAATCAAAAGAAAAGTGAAAGTTAGGTCGATTGTTAAGAATAGGCTATTTTATTCATAGTGTTGCTGTGACATGATCCTTTCTTGATATAATTTTAGTTTCTAGTATTATTATTATTATTTTTTTTGTAATGTTATAAATTTTTTTGCTCTGAACTGTTTGTAATCATCATCAGTGAAGCCTGGAGTTAGATTCCGTGATGTCGGAGAAGTAATTAATCGTCATGCTTCTATGTCGGGCTTGTCTGTGGTAATGTCTAACTTCAGTTTCCAATTAAAGTCGCTATCACTTCTAGTTCTCTACCGGATTAAATGTTTGTTTATTTTCTCACTGCCTTCTCTGTACAATTAGGTCAGGTCATATTGTGGGCATGGCATTGGAGAGCTCTTTCATTGTGCCCCTAATATTCCCCATTATGGAAGTAAGTATAGGTGAAATAGGTCTCAAACACTCCACCCCCCTAAAAAAAATTTCTCTGTGGTTACTTCTTAATAATAGTTGGTCTTAATAAGATAGTAAAAATTATATGTTTTTATACCTCTTGTTGGCCTCCTCTATAAACATCTTACTCTCAGTTATGTACTGACCAGGAAACAAAGCAGTTGGTGTGATGAAAGCTGGGCAGACCTTTACAATCGAACCAATGATCAATGCAGGTTCGTGTTTACTCACTATTTGGTTCCAGCACGACACGTGTTTCCCCTCCTTTTCTTTTTTGAATAATTATAAATATTCTAAGCACAGGAGTATGGCGTGATCGGATGTGGCCTGATGGGTGGACTGCTGTTACAGCTGATGGAAAACGAAGTGCTCAGTTCGAACACACACTCTTGGTAACAATGAAAATCCCTTGACTATCCCTTCTTCCAAGATTAATATCTTGATTATAATGGTCTGGCTAAAATCAAGTTATGGATAACCCGTCTCTTAGACGATCTTCGCTAATTGGAAGATGTTTCTGTAACCTCTTTTGATACCATCTGCATCCCCGACTTGGTCTTAATTTGCACTGTATGCCAAAATTTTCTAAAGGAAATTGGCATGTCCACCAAGAACTAAAACACTAGAGAACTGTTTGTTGTAAAGCACATGTTGCATCACACGCAATTACCTGTTGGGTTCTAGACCTCTATGAACCATTTTTTTTCAATCCTTTCATTCCTTAATTGACAGTCAAGTAAAATGATATGTATTGTGTCAGTTTAGGTTGGTTTTTGGTGAAAATCAACGTCAAGCCAACCTATTGGTTTAAGGAAAAAAAACCAACTTCGCGTCCTTTCCAAACTCACTGCCCTATCTAAACGAACAAAAGCAAATTTCCTAGAACGAATATTGTCTTCTTTGAGCTTTCTCTTTCGGATTTTCCTTCAAAGTTTTAAAACGTGTATGCTAGGGAGAGGTTTCAAAACCCTTATAAAGAATGTTTGTTCTCCTCCCCAACTGATGTGGGATCTCACAATCCACCGCCCTTCGGGGCCCAGTGTCCTCACTAGCACTTATCCCATTCTCCAATCGATGTGGACCCCCAACCACCCCCTTCGAGGCCCAGTGTCCTTGCTGACACACCTTCTCGTGTCCACCCCCCTTCGGGGCTCAGCCTCATCGCTAACATATTGCCCAATGTCTGGCTCTGATACCATTTGTAAGTTGCCAAGCCCACCACTAGTAGATATTGTCTTTTTTGAGCTTTTCCTTTCGGGTTTCCCCTCAAGGTTTTAAGACGCATATGATAGAGAAAGGTTTCTACACCCTTATAAAAAAATGTTTGTTCTCCTTCCAAACTGATGTGAGATCTAGCCAATAGAAGAATTGACTCAAACAGAAATAACTAAATATTTTGTAAACCTACCTAATTCAATTCACTGTGAATCTAACAAGGTTTAGTCGATTTTGGTAGTCTTTTTTGTTCTAGCTTTGCACCTGGAATGGAAATGCACTAAAAGATGGTGTAATTTTGTGTTATGTAGGTAACAGAAACTGGAGTTGAAGTCCTCACAGCTCGGTTGCCTACATCTCCCAAGGTGTTTCCATGGCTGAGCTGATTAGATTATCTTGAAACTCCCCATTTTTGGCCTCAGTTTCAGAAGACACCAGACTTTCTAAAAACGTTACGCTCTCAAAGGCTTGGAAACATAACACAAATAATGTCTCATAGTAATGGAACTGATTTTTGTTTTTATTTATTGAAGTTTGCCTATTTTTGTCTGTTGGGCTTTGAGGGCGATGAAGCCGTGTGCTAATGCTGATGCCCCACCAATGGCCTATGTTTATTTCTCTTTATCCATACACCAAATCACTTTCAGCTTCGGTTTGTTTATGATGTCTACTCTTTTATTTTCTTTTGAGGAACAGATGCTTTTTTTAACCATCTCTGTGAGATTATACAAATTAAGAAAATTTTTAAGGTCGAATTATTACGTAAGAATTTTAAAAAGACAAAAAAAAAAAAAAAAAAANGTTGTTTGAAGCTATATATTCAAATTTTTGTTTTTAATACGACACTTAAACATTTTCAACATTTTCGTTTTCAGGCCAATTTTGGAGTCGAACTTTTTTTTCTTGAGATAGGATTGTTAACTTGTTTAGAAAAGTTATTTTCTCGTTTTAGTATCATGCATATCTATTAAAGATGGTTAACTCGTTTAGAAAAGTTATTTTCTCATTAATATCATGCATATCCATTAAAGATTGAGAAAAAAAAACATTTACTCGTGTCTATAAAATCTCATAACCTCAACTGAGAAGGCTCTGGAGCACTCAAAGACCCTCGATAAAACTTCATAACCTGTCGAGAAGGCCCTCCTTGGAGGCACTTAAAGACACTGGAGGTACTTAAATCATCAAGTAAAAAAACTAAGTTTCTTTCACTTAGACACATGTTTAGTTAAAATACGAAACTTAAACACTTTCATTTTGTGCCATTTTTGAGTCATATTCGTAGGTGTTAACATTGACACTTTTTTCCTATCTGAGATGGGTGGCATTAACTCATTCACAAAAGTTGTTTTCTTGTTTCAATATCATACCATATCCACTAAAAATTGTTGTAAGCGTAAACTAAGGAAGAAAGAAAACATTTACTCGTGTCTACGTGAAGGGCCGAGAATTGAACCTGAGTCTTAGGTGAGAGCTGGACTAGAAAGTTGCAAAAGGGCATAACTTTTAAAATAGATTAAATTATAAAAAATATCCAGAATCTTGTTCATTTTTAGCCGTATAAACTTCGAAATTATTCCAAGTATAAGACATTGTAAGCAATGTTATTAAAAATATTCTTTTTAGATTAAAATGAAAATGATTTAAAATCTTGGAGCATAATTAAAACATAGAAACATTTTGTATAATCAATATAATTAAAAATTTTGAATGATCCCCTAGAGATAAAAAGCAAAGAATTGAACAGCTTAATAAAAATTTTGGGGCACTAAAATTTAATTTTCTCTGCTCTTGAAAAACGAATACATTAACATAAAACAAAGCATATAACCTTGACGGAGAACAGGGAGAGAACTAAGAGTTCTTTCACCAGAAAACCTAACAACAACAGCAGGACACAAAGACAGCGGCTCTCTCTATATATTATTACAACAAACAGAGAAAACCCGTATTCAACAAATACATAAACGTCTACATACCTTTCCGATCCCTTCACGACCTGCTCATCGTGTTCGTTTATTCAGCAACCTTGACGCCCGAGAGAAAAACTCGACTCTGAATTATCGTTCCACCAATCAGGAAACCCGGCATGACCATCAGCCCGACTTTCGGTTTCGGGTCGTTTTCGTTTATGATTAAGTTCTTGACCACGCTATCCATATATACCTCGGAGAATTCGTTTCCTTTTTTAACCTGGAATACCTTGACGTTTGGATCAAAGGAATATGCTAACCTGTGTAGTAGCCAGATTGCTTTAGCCAATTTAAGGAAGACCTGGTAGAAAGGAGTTCTAGGATGTCCACCTCCTGCCACATGATTTCTTTGATCTAAGTTTCCAAAGAATGAGGCTTCCATCTTTGGGTGGACTACTAGTAGGTATTTGCTCCTGCAAAATTGACCAAAAATGTAATCTGGGTTTTGGCCGAGCATGTCTAATGGATCCATGTCCTTCAATGAAAGAAATTCCCGGAAGAAATCCTCTTTTTTGAGTGCAAGATCGTCAACTTTGATCGAGAAACTTTCATGCTGAAAGCCACAGAACATTCTCTGGCATATGTGGGACTCGAATGCATATTTCTTGTGAGCTCTCTTTGCGTAGATGACGTTGGATTCGACTGAGTTAGCAGCAGCATCAAGGTCCCAGCCAGCTGCTTTCATCATGTTAATCAATGGCTTGGAGAAATCATGAATGGCCTTAAAAGCGCCTTCCACGGCCGATATAAACAGATCAGGGGTCAAGTCTACAGGGGAAATTCCATTTTCATCTGTAGAAGCTTCTGATTCTTTCATTGATAGTCCTCGAAGTTTGAGGTTTTTTTCCAGCTTTACCTTCTTCTGATTTGCCTCCTCTATCTGCTGCTGCAACTGATGAATCTCAGAATCTTTGTTTTGAATTTCAGACTGAAATTTCTTGACCATAACCTCATAGGTTTTCAGAAGGCTTTGTTGTTCTTGTATCTCAGCAGCTAAGCGTGAGTCCTGTGGCGAAACACATACTGGTTTGGGGTTGTTTTCTCGGTAGAAGTGTTTGAGCTCGGATAGTTTCTTCAGCTCAGAAATTACAAGTTTATCGGCGGCTTGGATCTTTTCAGGATCATAGGGAGTATGAGCACCTTGGAGCTGGATATAAGCAGACTTAAGGGAAGAAATGTTAGCAAAAAGCTTAGATATAAGGGCTTCCACTGCTTCGGGTTTCTGGTTCATGGCCTCTTCCATGGGTTGTGGGTGAACCTTCTGGCTACTGCTCTCACGGAGTTGGTTATCTTTTGCTCCAGTCACTAGCATAGCTACTTCTGAAAATGGGAATACAATAAACTTCCTTCAAATAGAGCACCAATATCATCCACCTGCAATCTCCAAAGCAGTGTACACGACATCTACTAGGAATTAACAGGGAGGTCCAGATAAAATTAACACAAGAACGCTTGCTTTATCTCGAGGTGCAGATGAAATATAATTTTGTCCATACAATGACAGAAGTACTTCAAGCGAGAAATACAAATGTTTTATACCCTCTTGAAGATGGCTAAAAAACAATGCAGCCTAGATTTCATGCATGCATAAACTAAACCATACATTAAGGTTTCATAACTTGTTAGGTCTATCAGTGAATCACCACTTCTAATGCCTACCATATCAAGATATTTTTAGCAATGTTCACATAATAATTTCAAGGTTCATAATGGGATAAGAACAATAGCACACGTCATAAAGCACCTCTCTCAGCCACCTCAGACCTGGCGATTTATCGTTTTACATAATAAGAAAACTAGCAGAAATATTGGAAAGAAAAGAATGGCACAATCTGCATACCTATGGGATTGGCATCATTAAGGTTCTCCAGCAAACACGGTAAGGTTCCACCTACATACAAGAGCAAGGAAATCAATCTATCAGGAAGAAGCAGAATCAATTTCTGATTTATACGTTAGAATCTCGACGCATTTTATGGTGGATTCCAGAAATAATAATACATTAGAGAATATTTCTTGAACTGAGTTTCCTTAGTAAAACTAATGATTCAGTTGGTAATATTACACTTTAACGGTAATTCTAAAATATTGGTCAGAGGTGAAAAGGAGATTAGTAGTACACCACCAGCCTCACAATGCTGATTCGGGAAAGATGTTATGGGACTACCCAAATAACATATCTTCATTTAATTTCTTTTGTTTGGCTGTGTATGCACGTGTGGTGGGGGATCTTCCACTCAAAAACAACAAGCGTCGTTAGCAAAAACTCGATATATTTACATTCTTAGGTTGGTTCCTTGCCACAATGGGCCCAATATGCTTAGTCGTAACAGCTCCCGACATACCCCCTAGTTCCAAGATTACTTCATCTAAGGATCAAAACAAAATTATAGTATAGATTGAAATAATAGCTCGATCATCTATCACACAATTGTTGGATTGTCACGGTGTCTTAATCAGCTCCCAAAGCTTTTTTTCTCCATCTCAATAGAATTACACTGAATAACTTCTTTTAAAAGTGTAATTACAGCATATACATCTTCACTGATCTGGTGATCAATAGATCAGATCCCTATGAGACACGATGCCTCTATGAATAAAATAAGTCTCAAACACATTGGCCTCTAACTAACATCTTTTGAGCTAAAATTTCAAGTTCCCAACCAATCATACATAAACCAACCCAAAATTAGCATTACCACTAATCTTTCCGGCACCAAAGTCCCAACTAATTCATTAGCCCCACAGAGAATATAAACGAGAAGCAAAAAAAAAACAACAAAATTCAACATTTCCAACTACTTCAAAACCCTAAATCTCGACAGACTCCTCAATCAAGCTACGTTGAATCAAATCAAACACATCAAGGAAAAGCAAACTAAAAATAAAAATGTAGCTCCATTCAACGATTCACCTTAAGATTCTCGAAGGCCATAAGAGTAAAGAAAGAAGCCTTACGGAGCTTACAGTGGCCGGAAAGTCGCCGGAAAGTTAACGAAAATGTGCAGGAACTTGAAACGAGGAACCACGCGTACGGTGAAGGCTCTCCTTTTCTGTGCCCTTCCGCTTGGTAAAGAAAGGGTAAAAAGGCAATGAGGAAGGGTAATTTCGTCTTTTCGCTATATCTTCTTTTCGAGTGCTTCTAAAAATTCTCTTTCTACTCATAACAAATCATAATATTTTAATATCCCAAAAGAACTCTCTATTTTTTAAATATATATATTTCTAATTATTAAATAATTAGTTATTTAATTTATTGACTTTTTTCTATTTGTAAAAATGTTTAATTATTTGTTATAAAACATATTTCTGTAATAAAATATTTTGTCTTAAAAAATAAAAAATAAAAAATATAATTATTTTAATCTTATAATAATTTAAAATTTTGAAATTTCAACTTTGCCCTTTCCATTACATTCTCAAAATTATCCATCATTATTACCACATGCCTTCTTACTTTTTGGTTTTTTCGGTACAATATGCTTTTTTTACCAACTTATTTTATTTTATTTATGCCTTCTTACTTTTTGGTTTTTTCGGTACAATATGCTTTTTTTACCAACTTATTTTATTTTATTTATTTATTTATTCTACATCGTCTATAATCTAAAAAATAAAAATAAAAAAATCTCGAAAATTAAAATTAAAAAACTTTTAAAATTATAAATATCAAGTTAAACCGCTAATGAAACTAATCTCGAAAATTAAAATTAAAAAACTTTTAAAATTATAAATATCAAGTTAAACCGCTAATGAAACTTAAAAAATATATCGAAATATTTGCTTAAAATAATATTGTAATTTTAATATTAATTTTTTTTTAATAGTAAAACAATAACATTTGACTTATGGTCAAAGATATGCTTGAGTTATACACTACTAGTTAAAGGTATTTTTGAGTTATATGCGCTCAATTCATACTAGATAATAGATTCATATCATTTTTTAAAGCTAAATAATGAAAATATTTGAATTTTCGACTTCTGGTCAAAGGTATTCTCAAGCTATATATATGCTAATTTTATAATTTCAATACAAAAAAATTATAATTTCAAAACTACAAGCTGTATACATTGATTTTCATGAACTGTTCATTACGGTTGGTGTGTTCCAATCGATTACGAAAGAATCTTTTGGTTTTAGGGCCACGGAGAATATGGANGAAAAGAATGGCACAATCTGCATACCTATGGGATTGGCATCATTAAGGTTCTCCAGCAAACACGGTAAGGTTCCACCTACATACAAGAGCAAGGAAATCAATCTATCAGGAAGAAGCAGAATCAATTGCTGATTTATACGTTAGAATCTCAACACATTTTATGGTGGATTCCAGAAATAATAATACATTAGAGAATATTTCTTGAACTGAGTTTCCTTAGTAAAACTAATGATTCAGTTGGTAATATTACACTTTAGCGGTAATTCTAAAATATTGGTCAGAGGTGAAAAGGAGATTAGTAGTACACCACCAGCCTCACAATGCTGATTCGGGAAAGATGTTATGGGACTACCCAAATAACATATCTTCATTTAATTTCTTTTG